AAGAGTGGTCATCTTCAGGGTGGGGGAGAAGGTCTGGAAGAAGTCAACCCCCTGACGCTGACTGAAGCCTCGAGCAACGTAATGAGCCTTGAAGACAGGCGGAGAACCCGACGGCCGCTTCACCCTGAAAATCCACATGCCATCGACTATGTTCGCCCCAGGAGGAGAAACTGCGTCAACGAAGGTACCTGTGAATTTTCAGGATGCCATCTCTGCGTCCATGGCTGTCTGCCACTGAGAGGAGTAAGGACCCGTGATCGCCTCTGCGTAAGAGCGCGGGGTCGGGATGTCTAGTGCATCCGGGTCTCCCTCATGGGCAAGCAGCATGGCAGGAAGATGAGGTACAACAGCCGCAAGACACTCAAGCTCAAACTGCCTGTCCTCTAGGACGTCCGTGCCAAGAGCACACTCACCTCCGACGGACGGGGGACATTCAAACTCAGACTCAGTGACAAGACCCGCGACGTAGTCGAGACGACGGGTAACAGCAAAGTCGACTAGCTTAGTGACTAACGCAAACGCAGCAGTAGACTCAAAAGAAGGGTTGGTGACAACAGTAGCGAGGAGACGAGTGACAGTAGGACGAGCAACACGAGCAAGGGCAGACTCAGGGTCAGGATCGTCAGGAAGAGAGGACGTCGGAGGAGACAGCAGAGTAACACGTTGTGGAACAGAGGAAGGACCATAGTGTGCGTGCCGGAGATAGGTGGAGGACGAGGACAGGGAACACGACGAGCACGGCGAACAGTGCGAACAGGGGAGGCAGGACGAGACGCAGGCTCATGACGCTCTATCAGGGAGACCGGCTGCTCGGTGTAAGGAGAAGGAGTAGGCGGTGGGGAGTCTGGCGGTAACTGCTTCTGAGACTGGTCAGGCGGTGGACACAGTAAGGGAGGAGTAAGGCCAGTGGAAGACGGAAGACTAAGAACCTGGCGAAGTGTTGAGCTAGGCGGTATTAAGGACGACTCCGGCTGCGAGTAGAAAAACGGTCGGCATGGCGCAGTACTCGTACCGTCAGCAGCTCCAGCACCTCCAGCACCAGCAGCTCCAGTACCTCCAGCCCTAGCACCTCCAACACCAGCAGCTCCAGTACCTCCAGCACTTCCATCTCTAGCACCTCTAGCATCAGCAGCTCCAGTACCTCCAGTTCCAGCAGCTCCAGTACCTCCAGCACCAGCAGCTCCAGTACCTACAGCTCTAGCACTTCCAGCACCAGCAGCTCCAGGACCTCCAGTACCTCCAACTCTAGCACCTCCAGCACCAGCGGCTCCAGTACCTCCTGTACCTCCAACTCGAGCACCTCCAGCACTAGTAGCTCCAGGACCTCTAGCACCTCCAACTCCAGTACCACCAGCACCAGCACCTCCAGCACCTCCAACTGCAGCACCTCCAGCTCCTCTTGTACCTGTAGGATACTCAGCACCCCCAGAGTCCGCATCCCCGGTGTCACCACCTCCAGCAGCACCAAAGTCCACAGCGACTGGCTGCAGAGGCGGTGAAGATGGCCGAGGCGGAAAAACAGAAGGGGCCGCCAAGCGCGCTAAGCGGCGAGGGGCCACAGTGTCGACAGCAGTCGGGTCACCTCCCTCAGCTGGGCCAGAAGTGTCAGAGGAGACCGCCAAAGGCTCAACCAAGGAGGGCGGGTCTACCTGAGACACACCTGAGGGAGCAGAACCCTGTGGGGGGAGGGGGGCTACCGGAGGGGGGTCGGGTACCAGGAAGAGAGGCGGGAGGGGCACGGGGGAACTGCGGTGGGGGTGGAGATGGTAGAAGCAGACAGACTCGTCAAAGGTGACGTCCTGAGAGGACACGACGAGAACCCGGGTGGTAAAACTTCCAGGGCGGGACGTTGGTAGGGAAGCCAAGGAAGATGCAGTGAAGAGTACGAGGAGAAAACTTGCCCGCGGGAAGATCACGGACAAGAGCAAGGGAACCTCAGACCCGAAAGACCGACGCATCACCAACTTCTCCCATCCACCGCAGAGTAGGGGAGGTCTCCGGGTGGGAGACACGGGGCCAGAGGTTGAGCTGCTGCGCAGCGGCGTATCGGACCGCAAATGACCACAGAAAATGGAGAGCAGCCGCATGGACCATGGAGGTGCGAGCAACCTCCATGACCAAGCCAATGCGACGCTCAGCAATCCCATTATGCTGAGGAGAGACCGGAAGCGTGAACGACTAGCGGATGCCCTAAACACAACAGAAGTCCTCGAGGAGGCGGTAGCAAAACTCACCACCTCGGTCTGAGTGCAGCCGCAAGTCCGGTAGGTCCTGCCAAATCGAGCTCTAAGCTCGCGATGGACAGCGCGGATCCAGCGGATTAAGACACTGCGAACCTCTGCCTTGCTCTGCAAGGGAAAGACCATGGTGTAGCACGTGTAGTCGTCAACAACGAGCAAAAAGTAGTGCTCGCCACCCTGTCCAGTGATGCGGGAGGGGCCCCACGTCCATGTGGAGGGTCTGCAGAGGAGCCATGGTAGGAGGAAACGAGGAGGTGTGAGGAGCGGCGCGCTGCCGCCTTTTGATGCAGGGAAGGCACGGCGGTGCAAGCGACCTCAGGAGCGGGGGCAGGGACATGGGGAGGCAAGAAACAACGAGACGGAAGTGCATACCACGTAGACGTGGCAAGGAAGGGTGACCAAGACGGTGGTGCCAGAGGAGAGTCTGGTGCGTGAGGAGAGGACACGAACAAGACGCGGCTACCTCAACCGATGCAGCTACCTGACCTGACTCAGCTACATGTGTAGACTTAGTGGTCAGTATGTACAGACCAGACCCGGGCCTCCGAGTGAACGTGGCGAGGTGGTCGCCGTGGTGAACGTGGCGTGGCAGGCCTCCCAGTGCGTGAGTCCGTACAGATCGTCACGAGCTCTCCCCCAGAGTGGGTAACACTGACAAACTGGTCCTGGGGGATAGCTGTGGCCACCAAGTTCCTAGCGAACGAGGGGAGGTGGAACCCTGTGATGGAACCGGAGGGGGCTGCGGGACACGGGAGAACCGTGGAGCTACGTGCAACAACTGGGCCACTAAAGGGGTCGGCCAGAGTGACAGGGACAGGGGTTGTGAGCTGTGTGACTGTGGTGCAGTCACGGAAGAAGCAGCGAGACGCGCCTGAGTCGAGGAGGAAAGTGTGCAAGGCCTCCACAGACTGTGCACCTGTGCTAGCTGAGTCACAAGCACCTAGAATGATAGTCTTTACACCACCAGGTGCCTCTCCACCCCCAGCACTAGTACCCCAAGCTCCGCCACCGGGGCTGCCCCGAGAGGGTCTCCGACGGACGCTGCTGCCGCTGCTGTCCACCCCCGGAACCTCCGCGTCCACTAACGGCACTACCAGCAGGAGTAGACTCACAGGTACCTCCAGGAGTAGCACCCCAGGCTCCGCCACCGGAGTTGCCCCACCGGACCGCCCACTCACGATGCTGCTGTGGCGTAAGGTGCTGCCCCCGACGAGCGCGGCTAGTTCCGCCACCGGGGCCGGCCCACCAGTTGGCCCACTCGCGAAGCTGCTGCGGCGAGAGAGACTCCGGCACACTCCGCTGCTGCTGACACAAGACAGGGAATGTGGCCATGGTAGGCAGTGTCAGTCAGCAGTAGCGGCTCAAGGGCTGAAGTAGTGACTGCAGCGGCGGTAGGCGGAACGGTAGGTGCAGTGGCAGCAGTGGTAGGAGTAGGAGCGGTAGCAATTGTAGGAGCGCGCGTAGGCAGTAGCAAGGGCGGTAGCGGCAGTTGGCAGTAGCAGCTGGAAGGGGCGGCTCAGGAGGGCTGCTCGATTGGGCGGCTCAGTTTGGCGGCACGGAAGTAGCAGCAGCAGGCGCGCAAGCAGGGCAGGGCAGGGCGCGAGCTGGCGGTGCAGCAATGCAGCAGGGGCAGGGCAGGGGCGTGAGCGGGCGGCACAGGGCAATGCGCGGGCGGCTCAGGCAGGGCGCACGTAGGCGGCGCGAGCAATGCAACGCGCAGGGCAGCGGGCAGTGGGCCAGCAGCAGGCAGCAGCTGCGGATTGGCAGGGCAGCACTGGTGGCGGCCAGGCAGGACAGGGCAGCGCTGAGCAGCGCGTGCAGGCAGGGCAGCAGTGGCAGCGGCCAGTAGCAGCAGCGGCAGTGGCCAGTAGCAGTGGCGGCAGTGGCCAGTAGCAGTGGCGGCAGCAGCAGGCAGCAGCTGCGGCTCGGCAGGGCGCGCAGTGGGCAGTGCGCGGGCAGCCCGCGGGTCGCCGGCGGAGCGCAGGGCAGGCGCTCGCGGGCGGCGCAAGGCTGTGCGCGGGCCTGGCGCGGGCTGTACGGGCTGCGCGCGGGCGGCGCGCTGGCTGTACGGGCTGTTCGCGGGCGGCGTGCGGGCTGTAAGGGCTGCGCGCGGCAGGGCAGGGCAGGGCAGCGTAAAAGCGCTGGGCAGGGCAGGGCAGGGCAGCACTAAAGCGCTGGGCAGGGCAGGAACGAACTACCGTAATTTGGCGGGCCCTTAAAAAAACGGTCCTAGAACGGGACCTACTCTGAAACCATGTTAGAATTAGGAGTGATTAGGAGTGGTGATTAGGTTAAAGGGGGGTACAAGTACAATGTCGAGAGAATTGTTGTACCCCCTAAGGCTAAACCCACTACAGCCTAGTACAATATGAACCTATAAGTTTGACAGCTCCTAACCTACCTATCCTGACAAAGAGCCCTGTTATGCAGGTAGGGTGGGGGGTAACTCATCGTGCATGGTTTTCGTTATAGCTGGCTGTTGGAGCTGCGGTATGGTGGCTCGTGCCATGCCACATGCTGCACCAGCCCGTAGTCAGTACAGCAATACTGCTTCAACTTGCGATGCCGCTTGAACACCTACCTGTCGTATACAGTTTGTTGGCTGTTGAGGGCAAGCTCACAAGGGTGAAGAATGTTTATTAAAAAACAACCATACATGGGTGCTTTTCAGATGTACAATAGGCCAGCAAACCAGCAGGCCAGCAGGTGTCAAGGCACCAAACCACATCAACATGTGTAGCATGCGGTCGTCAGAGGTGG